GTTGGGTTGCAGCGGTGCAGTCGTTGGGAGTCAGCGAGGGTTGTCTCGCCAGGGTGACCGACATAGGGAGGGCACAACGCCGTCAGCATGAGGCTGTCGTGGACCATGTGCATGACACATTCAGGGCCCGCTCCCTTGTCTATCAGTACCTAGTTGTCGGCCAGAAGGTCGACAACAAGGGGGTCATGATGCTCCGTTGCACGTTTTGCAACAAAGTTTTCCAAGGGACCCAGTTTCAGGCCACGAGACACTTCTCGCAGACAAACTACTGCAAGGACGTCAACGATGAGGCGTTGTACGAGATTGCTCGACGGACTCAGCAGAAGTTCGAGGCCGATCAGATGGAGAGGGTTGCGAGGTATGCTGCAGAGTGTGGACTCAATGTGCCCGACACGGGTGGTGCAAGGGGAGGAGAGGCGGGGCGGCGTCCGGCGGACGGAGGGGTCGGGGGAGATGGTGGGCATGGTGCGGCAGACCCCACTTTGGGTGGTGGAGGCGGTGAGACGGAGGAGGGCGTGATCCATGTGGATCGCGAGGCCCGTGGCCCGGGTGACGAGGGAGTTCCGGAACGGGAGGACGTGCCTGAGGTTTATCCAGGCACTGGCGAGAGGTTGGAGGACTGGCCAAGGCGAGCAGGCAAGGGAGCTGCAACGGAGGGGTCTTCCAAGAGGAAGGAAGGAGGGAGTGATCCAGCTGCCACCCCAGAAGGGAAGAGGCTTCGCCAGCAGAAGGTGACTGATGTCTACGGTGGCGAGTGGGTTGCTCGCCACAAGAAGGCATTCCTTCGCTGGTTGTATTCCAGCGGGGTATCCTTCAATGCCTTCCGCAACCAGGCGTGAAAGGCATATCAGCAGGTGCTTCTTGAGCAGCCTGGCAGTTCCCCGCGCGCAGTGCTCCCCAACCACTGCGAGATTGCGAGTATGCGGGCGGTGGAGACCCACCGTGCGGAGTTGGCGGAGGAGTTGGAGGAGGTGAGGCAGCCATTCTTGGTGACTGGTGCCACCCTCCTCTCCGATGGGAGGAAATCACGAGACGGGAGACCGATCGTGAATTTCCTTGCTGCTGGCTCTCGAGGGGTCGTCGTGTACATGACGATCAATCGAGAGGGCGAGGCGAACGATGCAGTGCACGTCCTTCGAGGATGGGTTACCATCTTGCACGAGTTCAGCTTTGGCGGGCCGCAGCGGATCAATGCGATATGCACTGACTCCGCTTCTGCCTATGTGGGGGCTGCGAGGGCATTGACCTCGCCGTCCATACCTCCTGCACTGAGGAGGATCACTTGGCTCTCGTGCTCCATCCATGTCTGCAACAAATTGTTGTCAGACATGGGGACGAGTTGCGACGCGTTTGTGGACGCGATCACACGCGCTCGTGTGCTGGTGGTGTTTTTCAAAACCCACCTGGCCGCCCTTCATTTTTTTAGGACGCGCAGCCCCGACAAGGGGCTTATTCTTTCTTGCGAGACGCGGTTCGCGTCTGTGTACTCCATGCTGGAGAGGTTGTTGGCCCTGCAGGACACTCTGCAGGACATGATGGGAGGGGACGACGCGCGGGCTTTTGCTTCCATCCCCTGGTCCGCCGATGTGTGCGTCATGGCGTTTGGGTGAGCCGACAGATCAGATGGGATCCATGGTGGCAGAGGGTGGCCACCATCGTCCATATCATGGAGCCCATCATGGAGTTGCTCAGGCGGATGGATCGTGGGGGACAGTACATATCCCTCATGATCGAGTGGACGCAGGATCTTGTCCGCTGTGTCACGGTCGCATGCGCCCCTTTGGGGAAGTCGTTCGCCGAGCGGATCATCAGGCGTGTGCAGGCTCGCACACAGCACATGCTTGAGCCGGCTCACTGCGCAGGGTTCTTACTAAACCCCCGCAGGCGACACGTTCGCTACTTTTCAGGGCAGGTAGAGCGGTACGATGCTTGGCTTGTGGGGTAAGCCAAGAGGTACATTCTGACGCAGACGGGATTCGAGTTGGAGGGTGTGGAGTACATCCTTGCATGTCGGCAGTTTGAGGACTTCCACATTCAGCAGGGCAGGTTCGGGGATTGGGGCGGGCCGGAGGGGCGTGCTCGTGGGCACGCGTGCAGCCGCGACAGCGAGACGATTGAGTGCGCGTCTTGGTGGTCTCAGTTCGGGTCGGGCGCGCCAGAGTTGCAGCGTTGCGCTCTTCGGGTGATGCACATGTGGTCTTGCGCCTCTCCAACGGAGAGGAACTGGGCTGTCCACGAGGGCATTCACACGAAGAAGCGCAACCAGTTGGCCTTCGAGAAGGTCGTGCAACTCGTTGAGATCACCGCAAATGTGCAGTTGACTGAGAATCGGCGGGCTGGATGCGGTTATGTGCTGCCATGGCAGCGGGACGAGGGCATGCTGGATTGCCAGGCAGGACTCGAGTTGGAGCCTGTGCGCTCGGGGACTCGCAGGGGGATGACGGAGGAGGAGATTGCCCGTCTGGTTGCAGTTATTACCCGGGATCCCATCGGGGCGTCTGCACCACCCTCGGCTGATGCCGTTTTCGATAGACGTGATTGCATTTTTCGTCCCTACCCCAGGGAGGACGACTCAGATGAGGAGCCGATACCCGAGGCGGCAGATGACCCTGCGCTCCGCATTCCCCGGGAGATCGATGAGACGCACGACGATCCCGACTCCGAGGAGACAAGGGCACACATTGCACGACGGGCGGCGGACCGGGCGGAGAGGGAGATGCTGGGGGGAGACGAGGACTTATGGGGCCCATTTGGTGAGGTCACTTCCACTGGCAGCCCAGAGGTGCAGGCGACGACCCCCACTCCGACGAGGCGGGATTCGTCCATGCCGCCGCCTCCTGCTCCGAGTCCTGCACCACCATCGCCCGTCTCACCACTTCAGCCGGACAGGGAGGAGTTGGGGTCCTCTTTGCCTCAGTGCGACCTTCTCCACAAAGGCCGGGCAGTCCACCAGCTTAGGTTACGATCACCTTCCCCGGGGATATTGCAGGAGGAGGGGGCACCTTCGGCAGCAGCAGTGGAGAGTTCAGTGGCACCAGCGGCGGTGCCGAACGCGACGATCGCAGCCGCGGTAGAGGAGATAGCAGAAGCAGCAGCAGCATCGGTGCTGGAGGAGATGGCAGCATCAGTGCTGGAGGAGGATCCACCAGCGGCAGGAGGAGGTGCAGCACTGGAGGGGCAGGTGGCAGCAGCAGGAGGAGCAGGTGGAGGAGCAGCAGCAGTGGAGGTTGAGGTGGTAGCAGCAGTGGAGCAGGAGGAGGCACCGTCGGCACCTGCAGTGGAGGAGGAGATAGCCGCACAGGCCGAGGTGCAGCGTGGGGGCGATGACGAGCGCCTCATGCAGCAGTTCCTCATGGAGGAGCTCGATCCGGCCATAGCGGGTATGACCCCGGGTGTGGAGAGGGGGTTTGGGATTTAAGATTCGGAAATGGGGACCCACTTAGACTTAGATTTGTCGGTGGGCCTTCCACCCAGTTGCGGCGGGGCGACATCGACGGACCGGGCTCCATCGAGGGACGAGGCGCCAGGCAGGACTTCGACGCAGACGGCGAGAGAGAGGACGTGGACTGAGTCTCCAGATGCAGCACACGACATCATGGAGCGAGAGAGGGCTAGACTTTTGGCATCGACTGACCCTCGTGCTCAGGCGTTCGCACGGGCCGTAGAGGAGGCCAGGCGTCGAGAGATAGGGGGGATTGTGTGCAGGGTGTGGTGGTGGCGGGGAAGGACGTCGCGGAGGGAGTGGCAGCAGAGCCGGTACCTGAGGCTATGCCGGGTGGAGCACAGGCAGCGGACGTTGCTGTGGAGGGACAGCCTCAGGCGGTGGATGAGGCTGTGCAGGCAGGACAGCGACGAGTCGAGGGGCAGGAGACAGCGACGGGTTATCGGGCATGCACTTGGCTCAGGCCCGACAGCCGCAGGCGGTTCAGATGGCAGTGCATGGTGTGCCACCGCCCGTTATCACGGATTTGGAGTCCGAGCCGGTGGTTGTGCCCCCACGTCTTCCTAGCCACTTTGCTCCGCAGGAGGTCCGTCGTTCTTTGGATGCAGAGGAGTTGGCGAGAGAGGCTGTGCACGATGTCACTCTCTTGGACCGGCGGATCTTCGACCGGAGGCTCAAGCACCCACCATGGCAGACGATCCATTCGGTTCCATGGGGTCCTGCGTCCCCCGTGTGGTCTGGGTCTACCTCCACCGGAGGACATACCGCGGGACATGTTCCAGGGGTTTCGGGTGGCGTGACGGAGACAGCGCCACGAACAGGAGACATGCCACCCCCTCCTCCCAGAGCACCTGCAGGTGATCCATCATCGTCGCCCATAGGCAGAGGCTCTCGATCCCCACACACCCCTGGGAGATCTAGGATTCGTGACACGACAGCAATTCAGCAGGACGTGTGTGACACGACGATATTCGGGAGGACAGATATAGATTTGGATTCCACCCGCCGTGTCACGGAGCACACTGCACGCCTTCAGTCGGGCTTGGGAGGAGGAGGCGCTAGGACGACCGCGACGAGGGAGGTACCGGCATCAGGTTGTGAGCCTCAGCGAGGTCGTGGCAGAGGAGTGTTGACTGAGGCCTTGGAGTACGCTCTCAGAGCAGCGATGCGTGCCGTGCAGGAGCAGACTCCACACAAGCGTGGAGTGCCTCCTCGTCCACGCCTCGTGCCTGCAGAGGGAGGCGCAACACTTGGAGAGAGTTTGGGGGCGGAGGGGTTGGGGATGCCTCGTGGTTCCCGCCGTGAGCAGACCATTGCAGAGGCTAGTGCGAGGGTTGTTGTGTTGAGGAAGGGAGGAGGCCCAGTCACCATCGAGGAGGATGATCCTGATACGGATGTGGCTGTGCGGGATGCAGACGAGGACTACGAGGGGGAGGAGGGGGGAGAGGAGGATAGCAGGAGCGGTTCCGATGGTGACGACGACGACGACTACGATGAGCCCCGACCTTCCCCAGGACCCCCACCGACGCGTGCATCTAGACGTTCCGCTGCACGGACTTCTTCATCTTCACGAGGGAGGAAGAGGTCGACATCCGACACTCGAGGGGGCACGAGGAGACACAACGGGAAGGGGAAGAAGGGTCGTTGACCGATGAGGCCAACACTCCGCTTCTCCCCTACTAGCACTGTACGTCGTCATGTTGTGCGGTTGTAGTTTTTTTTGTAGTCTAAGTCGTCTCGTCTTATCTCAGTATTGTCAGACACTCAATGGTTGTGTGCGTGCTTTACTTGTTGGTGTGTATGATTTTGGTAGCAGTAGGGTGTTCGTAGAGTATGATTTTGGTGCCAGTAGGTTGAGGAGGGTGTTCGTAGAGTGCCGTCGGTTGCAGCAGACTGAGTTCGGACTGTACAGTATTTTTTTTTCTTGTATCATTTAGGCAGCTACGACACGACTTGTAGACTATTGTTTCTTGTATTTTTTTCGACATGTGGTGCCAGTGCATTAGCAGTAGGATGCATTGTATCATGTTGCATTTTGCATGTGTGATATTAGTGTTAGCCTGTCAGGTACTTCGCATCGTTCACGACTTTTCATGTACAT